AATAATTATTACTATATATATATATATATATATATATATATATATATATAAGTCCCAAAAATAATGCATATTACAACTTATCATCTGGACCGTCCACGTTCAATATTTTCATGTATTTATAAATATGCTCAATTTGAACTACTTTTAAAGTTTAAATTTTCATAATTAGCCATCCAAAAAACTTCCACACAAAATTGTATCTTATGATAAAATTTGGAGGTGCGCTTTACGTTGATTGTTTAATGTTACAATCTTGTGAAAACCACACCCTACAATATTAAAAAATAAGTAAATAGAACTAAAAGACCTAATTTTGAGACCTAGAATCCTCAAAACCTGCTAAAAAACCTCAACAATAATGTTGAAAACTAAACCATCACTGCAGACCATCTTAATGTTGAAACTCATTGACCAATAAACCTTCGAACTAAACCATCAATCACCAATCTCAAACACGTAGTAATGTGCAACAATAGGACTGCACATTGCAGTCGGTCATATATTTAGTTTCTCCAGTTGAACAAGTCGTACCAACCCTGTTACAAGTCCTGATTCCGTTACAAGTCTTCCCAATTATGTTATGCAGCTAGGGCAACCATGTTCTCTAAAACTTTTCCATGTTCATCTTATGGCAATGGACACTAGTTGATGTGGTTACAAGAAAATGGCATTACCTTGTAAAAACTGAAAAGAGATGTCTCCAAATCAAATCAACTTCCTTGTATGGTAAATAACTAAATAACATGGAAATACAGTACAAAAAAGAATAACCGTGAAGAACATGGTACAACACTAGTTTACAGTAAATGAAACTGCAAATCCTAAAATAACCGACAGAAAAGACTGATAATGATGAACAGAGAATCGATATAAAGCTCCCATAAGGTGAGAGGTTCTTCATGCTTCATCATTCCTTTGATGAATTGATTTTTCACAAAGGAACTGACCCATAAAATACCAACTCTGCAGGACCAGTCATATACACATGGTTGTCATCCTCTCTCCACTCAATCTCCAACAGGCCGCCAGGTAAGTCTACAGCACATTTCTATCTCACACATATCGAACACAGAATCAGCCAAAAGGGTACTGAATAACAAAATGACCGAACTATCAAAATTTTATTTGGAAGTTTTGAAGGATATATATCCCCATTTATGTGCTGACTTACCCTCTCAGAACGACCCTCAAGGACAGACGCAACAACAATTGCACAAGCTCCAGTTCCACAGGCTAATGTGGCTCCTGTATTAATTCAAAAAAGCCTATTCAGCTTAATGTCATCTTCCATGGTCCAAACATAGAGATGTTCAGAATCGTCAAGCCAGATCCTAAATTTTAATGACGTTATGGACATGGCCAACTACACAGCATGTGAGATGATAAATGCTAATCTGCTACAAATTAACACGAGGTCATGATCAGCTTATATTGGACCATTCAGAGGAAGCAAAGAATTGAAATGCAGCTCTTAAAGAACAGTTTTTTTTTCTTTTGGTGCACATACACAACCGAGATCATTTAGGCTTTAGAGATAAGAAAACGAGTCGTGCATATCAATAAGGCAGGTGCATAAAGAATAGGGGCATTACACTGTATTATGGTACATTTCCAACATTGCACAGTGTCCAAGCCAATCTTGAGGACATTAAAGGAAATAATATACAGATAACAAGAGATTTACTTTGCAAAGATTTTGAATTGAAGTAAGAAGTTTGAAGCAGTAACAGAGTCAAGCTAAGGGGTTAGTTTAAGCAGGAGCATGGTATAGCAACCACTGATTGCCAAATCCTACCCAAATCTGCAGTTATTAAGCTTTAAAAGGCATATTTCAGCATGTCAAATTGCAGGAACCAAATATGATGGATACTGCCCAGTACTGTATCAGTGAATAGTCAGATTACGTGTATTGCACGTAGGATTGAAATATAATACACGTTGGATTAAAATAGGCAATCATGTAAATAATCATGAAAATATGCAATGGAAAGTATGTAGTGCTATAATGAGCATTCTTATAAATAATTATATAAATATGCAATGCAAGAATACATTAATATGCCAAAAGTGATCATATAAATCATCATGTGATTTTGCAATGGGAGAGTGCGTAAATATGCGATGAGAAATATATTTTGAATACTGCACATCCACAAATTAATAGGCAAAATCAGGTATATATCCATCATTATTTGATCTTAATAGAGGAACATACAAAAAATGAAAATACGTGTATAATTTCTTAATTAAAAAAAACGTAAACAGTAAATATTTGAAGGAATAACACTTTGTTCAAATATGCTTTGTTTGTTTTTTTAATCTGTGGCATTTCGATTATAACCGCATTTGCTGATTATTTATACAAGGACAAATCCTATATGACAATGTCAATTTTTTAGTTTTGAATAAAATAATTTTTTATTGACCTTATAACTTTTCCACCCTTCATATTGAAAGCAATAACTTTTCCATCCTTCATATTCAAAGAAATCATAACCATAGGGTTTGACATCATTTTCATCCTTAAAAAGCACATGCAATTCTATAAGCACGTCATTTACATTAAGTGATACTTTAGGTACTTTTTTACTTTTGTATCTTCATGCATTTATAAATGGGACTTTCCTTCATGTTGCTACTCATTATACATAATATACATGGTTTTTACGATTTATATATCATTGAACTTTCAGTTTTCTAAAAATGATTTAGAACTATTTTTTAAAAAAAAATTATTACGAATTTCAATTGTTTAATAATTATTATGTATTATTTTCTACATAAATAAGATACTAGCTCTAAGAACTTTTATAACTTTAATTACAGTTTGTTATGATTTAAGAATTATTTAAGACTAATTTTCAAATTATCTACTTATGAACTCTGAAAAATTAGTAGAATAGAAATCCAACAAAAAATATATATATCTTGAAAATGACACCCTACTCTATAGAAAAGCCAGTGTAACTTCTAATTTATTACAAATTTCATTATTAAAAACTCTAAAAGATAAGTCATTCAATATTTATCAAAAAAAAAGTTATCCATAACCACAAGTTCTTAAAATAGGAAAAAAAAATTAAAACTTGCATCATGTATTAAATACTAATGGAATCCGAGAATATTAAAAATAAAAATACATTATAAAAAAGGATAAAATATTTATAAGTAAGATATTTAAACCTTTAAAACTAAAAAATATTTTAAAATAATTTTTTGAAAATATAAAATAATTTTTTAAAAAATAAGACCTAATTATTTTGAAAAATTAATTTTTTTTATAAAAGCTAAACATAAGTCAAAATAAATTTTGAGGCAAAATTAACAATATCAAGCTCTTATATATTTAAAAACAAAAAACTTTGCAGTAAAGATATCACATATATGCTTTTTTTTTGGAAAGCTTGTAATGAAAAACTAAAAATTATTCATAAATAATTTTCAAGATCATAAGTTCTTTGTAACTAAGTAAATACAATTTTCCTGAAACTGGTATCTTTTTCGTGGAAAGGAGTATAAATTAAAAAAAGCATTTACAGATTTGTTACTACAATTGATGAAAAATAGGTCACAATTTGTAAAATAATTAAAACACTGAAGCTCTCAATAATTTAAAAAATAAAATAAAATGATAGATCAAAAACCCTTAAATATACATATGATCATTGTTATGCATAACAAATTTGAAACGAATCCCTACACAATAGGGAAACAAGTAAATATAAAAACGGGTCAATAGCTATAGGTAATGAGCCTTATAGCAGTTATGAGAGATCACTTATAGGAGGCCACTATTCACCCAAAAAAACTTATAGGAATCCACTCAAAGAAGATGCATACGATATTGTCTAGATTTCATATAACATAACAAAACGAAAATTATTGTTATAACTAAATAATGGATCTAAAACCATGAAAATTTATAAAAGATGATACAGAATGAAGAGAAAAAAATGAGTAAAATGGGGAGTTTACACAGGGATTATTAACCTTCTCTTGTGATCGTCATCTTCAGCTTCTAATGCATTATAGTATCACTACATATCTCTCCCACCTTAACACTGCAAATGAACCTCCATTGTAATAGCAGTGGAGATGCCAATGCTATTTGAGGGAAGTCTATATTCAATGGAATTAATGGTAGAGAAGACGAAGAGAAAAAGAATATGCCACCTAAATATTTTGATAGAGAGATACGTTGCTAATTCTTGTTTCTCTCCATACCTTTCTATCTTAATTTAGTAAATCTCTTGCCATGAGGTTAGAAAGGGGACATATGCTAATTCAAATCACCACATATGTACCAAAATAAAAAGTAGATATATGTTATATTAAATTTTAATTCTTATAACGTCAAAAAATATCTATATAAAGAAAGTAGATCTATGCCAATTCAAATTAGAATAGCATGTAAAACTTGGAATTTATAAATCGCTAAAACTTGTACGTGCATCTCTCCTAAAATTTTGGCACAAGTTAATTATATTTCTTCTAGAGAGAATTCATTTACCCTACATCATGCCCCAAACTCCTTGCATCTAAAAGTCACTTTCCTTACCTTCTCTCTAGTAATAGGATCCCTTTTTATTTTCCGACACGTGTCCACCCCCTAATTATGGCTTAATAAAGTAATACAGATAAGCCCCAAACTCCTTGCATCTAAAAGCCACTTTCTTTACCTTCTCTCTAGTAATAGGATTCCCTTTTATTTTTGTGACACATGTCCACCCCTTAACTATGGCTTAATAAAGTAGTATATATAAGGGTTCTGATAAAGCTATGCATCTTAGGTGGGGGTGTCCACCCAGTGTGTTAATGGTCTTCATTCACATGGCATGCCATGAAAAGCTCACTAAGAAACACAATCAAGCCAATCATATATGATTTAAGGAAAGCAATTCAGGAGCATCTCTCTAATAAAGGTTCGGCTTCAGCTTCAATCTGAAAAAGTATGCCAGTAAAAAAACAGTGGAAAGAAGTTAGAAAACAGTAACAGAAATGAGCTAGGAGAGGTTCACCAGTACAGCAACAACCCAACTACTAATTGCGAAACAGATAGTACTTTTGTTCCAGAGAACGTTTTTTAAATGGACACAAAATATAACTTCCAAGTGGCAAGGCTAAAGGACATAAAGATCAAAGACACCACTACAGCTGTTTGCTGCTGCATTTTGACTTGCAATTAAGGAAGTTCCAACTTCCAGGACAATACACCCTTATAAAAACCTTGACCAAGCAATTCAAGGAACAAATATTTTTATGGAAAAATATACAAAGAGACCATATTTACGTTTTGATACAAGGTCAGAATCATTCTTCTCTGTCAGATTTCAAATCGTGTGGTTGTCATAGTGTTATTGACTAGCCTCAAAGTTCCAACAAAAAAAATTCAAACTTCGTAATACACCCCAAGCCGTCCAATTTGACATCTAATGGCTAGGAGTAATTGTGACCTCCTTGTAACAAAGATGAATGGTCTCATAGTATGCAATCCCATATTTTATTGCTGAGATTCGAGCATGTAGTGTTGGGATGTGAGTATGACCCCATATGAGGGAGGGCATTAATGAAGAAATCACTCAATTGAGGAGTTATTAATTTACAAGACAATCTTCAAGCCTCCCAGTTCATTTATATAGAGACTAATTATCAAAAATTCCTGTTGACTATGATCTTTCCTTGTCATACCAAACTTGAATTCCTTGAAATAAAGAAAACTCAAATGGTTAGTTTTGTATCTGGTGGTTTGTAACAGGTCAGGACAAAGCAAGTAGACTTCCAAACGTTCTTCATCAGACTTAAATTGGCACAATGTGACATCCAATATATCCCAATATGAACTATTATTTGGAAAATGCAATTTTTGGAAATGATAAAAAAAGCATATTTACCAGCACCTCGTTCCCAAACCCGCATCTTCAAGTGAGAGCGCGATATAACCTCCACAAACTCTGCAAAATATACCAAAAGATGTCAATGCCATAAGTTGCAAGCAAAAGAATAAATGCAAATGCCAGTATATTTGAGATATACAGTAAAGGAAATTGTCCATGCTGGCATTGTGATAGATGCGAACCCACATGCAAGTCGCCATATTGTAAGGCATCATTCATAATTGGATGAATGCCCTATCTGGAAACTGGACAGACCATTGAGGAGCTATCTACTTTTAGGCTAACTGCCATATAATTGAAACAATCAAAATGAATGTTTTAAATCTGACATTAGATTAGGAAGAAAGTAAAGGGACCAAATAGGATTATTCATTAATAGATGATGACCCTTTAGTGGGAGACAGATCTGTAAAACCAAAGAATAGGAGCCTCTTAGAGAGAAAAAAGATCACCTATTAAGCAAATCAAAATGCAACTTTCAACTTGAAGCAAACACAACAGAAATTTTCACAATTCTAATGGACCGTAATAGAATTGGAATAGGTATTGGCTATTGGGTGTAATGTTAGCTGCAATGCCCTAATTGAATGCCGTAAAGTTGGAAAAAAGGGGCCCCCACAAACACTGCCTACATGTGCCATTTTGCAATTTATTGCGAGTGGTATTCTATATCGGATATGTCATGCATTAGGGCCCAGAGGCAATTCTAAAAGCATCGCCATACACACTACTAGAAGAAGTTCATTCAAAACAAAATAAAATGCGGTTGGCTAGCAATGGACACACCTACAACTTTATTTTATTTTTTGGGTAGCAGTGTGATGCGAAAGGAGCCCAAGAAATTAAATCCGGTCTTCCTTTGATCTCAATCAAGCAAAAAAATTTAACAATAATGGAGGAAATAAGTGGTTGTATATCAAAGCATAGGGAACAAGAAGCTCTCTTTCTTCTTTCTTAAAATAATTCTTTACACATAAAAATACCAAGTCTTCTTATCCTTATCCAAGAGGCACGTCCCACATCAAATAACAACTAAAAATAAAACCCACCAAAAAAACACTCCCTCTATCTCTTTAGCAAACATTAATAACTCTCTCTCTCTCTCTCTCTCTCTCTCCTATTCACATGGTTTCCAAGCCAAAGAAATAGTCTCTCTCTGTACTTCCTATTCCCGTGGTTTCCAAGCCAAAGAAATAGTCTCTCTCTGTACTTCCTATTCCCGTGGTTTCCAAGCCAAAGAAATAGAAAGTGGCTATCCTTTAAAACAACGTGATTACCCACCATGCCATTTCTTTTCTTAAAAAAATAATCCAAACTTATCTTAAAAATCTAAGGAGTGGGTCACATTAACCCCAAAATATGTAGAAACTTCCTATCCGACCCAAAATAATTAAATTAAATTTCTCCTTTCATCCACATGCTTTAAGTACAAAATTCGGCTAGAAAAAAAAATACGTCGATGCCCCTGAAAAATAAAATTTAAAAGATAAAGTTGAAGTTCAAAATCAACCCATTTAAACGTGATTTGCATCATCCCCCCCGAGTTGGTGAAAACTCAACTCCATTGGGTCAACATTATCATGGAACACAAACAGATCTCAATATTAAAGATTGGAGAGATATTCAATCTGCTTGGCAACTCCACCTCATAAGCATTGTCATTGATCTTCTTCTTGATCTGGCAAGGCCCAATCTTCCTAGCTTTAAACTTTCCATAGGTGCCAACAGTAAACCATTCAGGTCTCAGATACACCATCACAAGATCTCCAATATGGAGCAATTGCACATGATGATGTCGGTTCACAGCATCCTGGTACTTGTCATAGCTCCCCTCCAGCTTTCTTCGAATTTTCTTGTGCAACTCCATATATTCAAGCATGCTTGCAGCATCTGGATCTACAGTCTCACGTACAGGTAAAGGAATTAAATCATGAAAATGTAAAAGAGATATATTATATACCATTGTAAAAGGAGTCTTCCTTGTAGACCGATTTGTAGAATTATTATAAGCGAACTCAGCTTGAAGTAACATCAAATCTCGCACTTCCACATTTTCTCCAACCAAACTCCTCAGCATGTTGCCCACACTTCTATTGATCACCTCAATTTGGTCATCTGTCTGTGGATGATAAGCATCATTGAATTCCAACGTAGTACCCATTTTTCCCCATAAAGTCCTCTAAAAATGACTAAGAAATCAAATATCACGATCTGAAGTAATGGCCTTGGGAAGTCCATGCAATCGCACGCTCCTTAAAGAAGAGAATAGCAACCATTGTAGCATCTGAAGTCTTTTTACACGGTATAACGTGTGCCATCTTAGAAAACTGTTCCACCACCACTGTAATTGAATCACAACCACGTGTTGTCCTGGATAATACCATAATGAAATCCATGATAAATCAACCCACAGCCTAGTCTGGACAGGTAATGGTGTGTAAAGTCCCATGTTTTGAGAATGTACCTTTGCCACTTGATATTCTTCGCACCTATCAACAAATTGATATACATCCCTCATCATGCATGGCCAAATACATCGCTCCTCCACCAATGCATAAGTCTTGTCTCTGCCAAATGACCACCAAGGCCTCCTCCATGAAGATTTGACATAAAACGTTCTCGTAAAGAAGTATTAGGAATATATAACCATGTACCATAAAATAAATATCTATCAAACAAAGTGAATTGGTAATAAGAGGAATGATCACTTGAGATGCACTTTGAAACAATAGGGCTGAAATATGGATCCTCCAAATATGCCACCACATTCACAACCAAGGTGCGCAAGAGGTAAGAATGTCGGCTCAACACATCGGTCACTCAATTATGATCCCCTAAATGGTGCCAAATAGTGATATGAACTCTTTAAGCACCCACTTTGCATGTCGCTCACTAAACTTTATATGGCTAGTGATGTGCATCAATGCATCATGATCTGGGTATAGGTTAAACTCTTGTTGCACCAAATAATGTCGTCAATGCCTTAAGGCTTGAACAACTGCATAGAACTCAACATCATAAGGGGAATACTTCCTTCTTGCCTCATTGAGTTTTTCACTAAAGAAAGCAACAGGGTTCTTTTCTTGGCTAAGCATTGCACTAATCCTCATGTGAGAAGCATCACATTCTAGCTCGAAAACCTTATTGAAATCTGGCAATGCAAGCATTGGAGCATTCGCCATCTTCTCTTGAATGGTGTCAAAACCTTTATTTGTAGCTAGGAAAGCTTCACCTTTCAAGCACTCAGTAATTGGGGCCATAATGCTGCTGAATTCTCTGATGAACCTCCTATAGAATGTAGCAAGTCCATGGAAACTTTGCACTTCAGTCACTGATTTTAGAACCGACCACTCTACTATAGCTCGCACCTTCTCAGGATCTACCTTCACCCCATCTAAAAACACAGCTTAGCCCAAAAACACTAGGCTATTGGTCAAGAAATTACACTTTTTGAGATTGATGTATAACTTCTCAGCCCGTAGCATTGTTAGTATCTGGTGAAGATGATGAACATGGGCATTGGTATCTACACTTTAAACAAGTATATCATCAAAATAAACCACCACAATTTGCCAAGTTAAGGTCGTAACACCTATGTCATAATGTGCATAAAAGTACTAGGTACATTTGACAGGCCAAAAGGCATCACTAACCACTCAAACAGCCCACTTTTGGTCTTAAAAGCAGTCTTCCACTCATCTCCTTTGCATATATGAATTTGATAGTAGCCACTTTTCAAGTCAACTTTTTAACCGAGGAATACGGAACTGGTATCTAACTGTTATTTTGTTAATTGCGCTATAGCCTACACACGCCCTCCATGCCCAACCGTTCTTAGGGGTAAGCAAAGTTAACACTGCACATGGACTCATGATATCCCTTATAAGCCCTTTTGCCAACAATTCATCCACCTGCCTTTGAACCTCGTCATGCTTTTTAGGACTCAATCTATAACCTGGTAGGTTAAGTAGACTTGACTCAGGTATGAGGTCTGTACGATGTTGTCTATTCCTCATAGGTGGCAAGTCAGCATGTAACTCCTCTGGCACAAGGTCCTCAAATTCCAACAAAAGTGGTTTAAGAGCTTCGGACACTGAAACATGCTGCCAAAAGTCCTTTTCCAGAAGTGCATAACTGCCCAGTCTCCTAAATCACCTCCATAAACTGCCGGGTGTGAGAGAAGAACCACACCCTCCTCATTGGACGATTTGGGTAGAGTCTCCTCACGCAAGGATAGTAATACCACCTTACGACCATCCTTCCAAAAAGTATAGGTGTTACATTCACTATTAAAGATGGTTTTCCAAACATACCGCCACGGACGTCCTAGGAGTATGTGGCAAGCATCCATTGATGCAACATCACACCAAACCTCATCTTTATAGAAACTACCAATAGAAAACCTAGTTACGCATCGAGAAGTAAAAAGTACCTCAGCCCCATGCTTGGACCGTGCGACCTTGTGAGGTCGTGGATGCTTTCCAACTTTGAGATGCAACTTGTCTACCAACTCATGAGAGACCATGTTTGCACAACTCCTTGGATGTACACCTGGTGCCAAATATGTTAAGCTCACATGGCAATGAGAGAACACATCAAACCACCAAGGTACCTCCTTGATCAGCCACCACTTCGATCATCAAAATCAGCCTCATTTTCAGCCTCAATCACCTTGTGTTCTTCATGGACTTCCCCTTCTTCATATTCACGTTCTACCAAATTGGCATGGTGATGGGCTTTATTCAACACGCACTCTGCAGCTCAGCGCCCCACTTTATTGCACCTAAAACACCTCGGACCAGTAGTTCCACTTTAAATAGCTCAGTGTCCCACGTCCCACTTAAATACCAACTAAAAATAATTCCCACAAAAAAAAATCTCTCTCCCTCTCTCTATTCAACAACTAAACTTCATATTCATGTCGTTTCCAAGCCAAAGAAATAGGAAAGTGGCTATCCTTTACAATCAACTGATTACCCACCATGCTTTGTCTTTTCTAAAAAAGATACCCAAACTTGTCCTAAAAATCCAAGGAGTGGGTCACATTAACCCTAAAATATAAAGAAACTTCCTATCTAAAATAATTAAATTAAATTTCCCCATTGACCCTCATGCTTTAAGTAGAAAATTGTCCATGCCCCTGAAAAATAAAATTAAAGTTAAAGTTCCAAATCAACCCATTTAAACCTGAATTGCATCTTTGTGGGTTAGGAAACGAACTTGAGATATAGTGTTGTCAATCTTAACTGCCAACCACTCAAGCCCAAGCATGATTCCTATCCACGACTCCTTAATTTGCACTAAAAATTACTTACAAATGGCAATTCCAAATTCCAGCTCACTCATAATCCATTGAGCATGAAACAAAGTCTAAAATAGCCCATTACACAACAATGGTTCTCTTATTTATTTCAACAGGTAAGAAAACAATCCTTTAAGGGTGCTTCAATGTGCTTCAAGAAGAGGCCTAGAAAGGTTATGGAATAACAAACAAGATCGCCATTAATCAAATAGTAGACAACATAATCTAGAGCGTTTTGATTAATGGAATGTCCAGAAGACAGCCATACTAGAAGCCCTATTGGATTAGAAGTTTAAAGCTCATTACCTAATTAAAGGGACCTAAAAAGCACCTAAAGGAGCCAAACAGAATGCAAACCCAATGAAATGATAGAGACACAGATCCAAGCAGATAACATTTATGCCCAGAGAGATTTCTTTTATGATTACCTCAATAATGTAGTATGCCTTATGATCGATCCCAGAGGTTCACACCTGATAAACATAGAAGTGATACTTACAACGAGACCAGCATATCGTTGGCATGAAGATAATTGAACTTCTATTTTTATTGGTAATTAAGAATTTAATATAGTTACATCGGTGCCGTCACATCTGTAAATAGTCCTCAGAGGCCAAGATGCCAGGTACAACTCATATACATATATTATATAGTAAAGACCAACTTTCACTAGCCCTACCATAAATACAGCAGCACACATGGAGATCGTCCTCAAAACTGACACATCAAAACAATGAGTATCAGTTCGGTTACCAGCTAAACATTCGGATTACAATAACTGCCCCAAATAGGAGATACATCACCACTCTGTTCTCATGTAAAAATGCCTGGAGGTAAAAACAAAAAAAAAACAACACACACACACACAAAGTAACAGCTCTCTAACTTACAACCCTATGTATAAGATGTGTATCATGAAAAGTTTACTAGAGTTGCATCTGTGAGGCAACAGTACACATTAAAGCAACATACCGTGCTTCCAGCAAGACAACAGAAAAGAGACACTATGGGAACATTTCGCAAGAAACTAATGCGCCAGATTTCTTCTGAACTGTGAAATCAAAATTTGTTTGTGCCACAAGAGCACTAGAATGGATGGTCTACTGGATACCCATAACACATTACCCAAACTTACCATAAAAAAAATAATAATAAACAGGAATCCAGGGTAAAATTGTTTATCACATTTTATAAAGCTGGTAAACATGAAATTGAGATATTAGAGCCCAAGCAAATGGTTCATATACATTCTACCTATAAGATCCAACTACCACCGTAAAGTAAATAATAATAACAATTAGTATAGAGGGGCATGCAGTATATCCCAATATCAAGCCCTAAAGGGAAGGTACATGAGCCAACCTGTGTTTGTTCTAGAGGGAAACATTTCATGATGCTCAAACTTTGGACCAATATCCTGTAACTTCAAGTCATCAACCTGTAGTGCCTGTGCAGCAGTAGCATGAATTATAGAACAACTACTTATAGGTCAAATAAGTAAATGTTACAACTAAGTCAAACTGCACATGCCTAGTCAATACAAATAAATTCTAATCACAAGAATCAATGAGAAAAAACTACTAACCGCTGGCCTGAACCAGGAAAAGAATACTCTTTCAGTCAAACAAAAACAAAAGCTGAGTCTAAGAAAAAGAATAAACGTCAGCCACCCTAAGCAGTTTCTTAAAGAAATCAGCAGTATACTAGTTTGATACAAGCACAACATTTATGTTGCGGGAAAGGTTTCTATGCTTCCCCTACGGCATAGAAGTTCTATCCTCCCCCTACCATCCAGCCGTCCAATTTTGATCAAGAGAGCCACTTACCATTTGATCTTAGATCCGACGTGTCAAAGTAATTTATTTTTAGTTTTTTTTATACAAATTGTATGAATATGAAATTTGGTACGTGCCATCTTCTTATTGGAGCGCACCTTTAAAAAATATTAAGAATAATTTTTCAATAAAATATAATGACAAAAATACCCCTTGAAACTTTCAGGGTTATTTTGGTCATTTTATTTTATTGAAAAAAAAATTTATATTTTTTGCTAGTGCGAGTTTAATAGAGGAATGGACGTCCAAAATTTGGTGCCAAGATAGTTTATAGAAAAAAAATTAAAAATAAAATAGTGTAGAGACATGACATTGTGATTGGGGCAATCTTAGCCCTCCATTCAGAATGGACGGTTGGACAAGGGGAAGGATAGAACTTCTATGCTGTATGGAAAGCATAGAAAGCTTGGCCTTATGTTGGAAGTTGAAAAATAAAAAAAGTATTATTATTCATCCCATTGGGTTCATTATACAATGTTAAGAAATGAGCTTTCTGTCAAGGAATATTACATGCAACCACTCAAAGATGCCAATTAACAAACTGACAAACATACCTTCTAAATTAAATACACAAGCACTAATTCTCAAGCAGATATAAGAACGTACAAGGTTATACTAATGAAGGTACAAGCGATGCAGAATGAATATAAGAAACATTAGAAACCTACATTACATTGTTTCGCACCAAATGTAACGCAATGAGGATTTCCCATGCTAACACATGTCACATTCCATGTTTTTCCTTCAACTAATAATTCTGCCCCAATGACAGCATCATCTTTATTTGCTGGTATTTTTGTAGGTACAGCTAATGCTCTGAGCACTGGCTGACCCATATCAACTGTAACCTACAATGCGACCACAAAAAAAAAGGATATAAGATAATGAAAATAAGGCCCATTTGGACATGCTATTAGTCATATCAAAGAAAAAGTCCTAACCTTTATGGTCAATATTGACAAACTGTATTTTCTTTTCTGGGAATAGAGGAAAAAAAAAAATTAAGCCTTTTGGCTTTAGCAGCATTAGATAGATGAGCACGGTAAGAAAAATAAATGCTTCCCCAGGAATAGTGTCACACCAAGGTGGGATATATATCACTCTTAATTAATGGGTGAAAAAAACAGTACCATTCCCAAAATCTTGTGAGTTGAAATGGGGCCAAAGTGACCAACATGATATCTTCAAATCAACTTTGGGGAGGAACTTGAAGATCAGGATTATAATGCAAAAGTCCCGACAGAACTTTCTAAAACCAATTTATCCAGATTTTCCTGACAAAACACAAAAAACTATGGGGCCGTTTCTATACTTGGAAAAACATTTCTAGAAATGTTTTCCTATGGAGATGGCACATTTCTGGTGTATGAATTGAAATTTTGGGACAGAAACGCATTTCAACCAAAAATTATTTTCCTCATTTCAAGCCAAAAGAAAGGACATCTATATCCTTGCCTTTACCCTCAGAAATTGATTTCCAGCCAGATTTCCCCGTTACAGAGACGTCCACTTCATAAAATACAATTAATTCTGCCAAAATACAGCTACGAATTAGAGAGATAAACTATCTCAAATATAAAGTTTAAAGAGATAGAATTTGAATGGAGAACCAGAATTCATATAGCCGACCCCAATTAATTGGGAAAAGGCTAAAATGATCATGATGACGAGAGAGAACGAACCTAAAAATTTTAGAGAGAGAAACTATATCTAATTTTAGAGAGAAACTACTTAAAAATTTTAGAAAGAGAAAATATCTCAAAAATTTTACAAATAAACTATTTCAAATTTTAAATTTTAGAGAGAGAAATTATATTAAAATTTTAGAGAGAAACTATATAAAATTTTAGAAAGAGAAGTACCTAAAAATGTTTTAGAGAGAAAAACTATCTCAAAATTTTTAGAGAGAGAAACTACCCCAAAGTTTAAGTCTTAGGGAGAAAGAACTTGAAAATTTTTAGAGAGAGAAACTATATCAAATTTTAAGTTTTAGTGAGAGAAACTATCTCTAAATTCTTAGAGACAAAATATCTCAAATTTTTCAGTTTTACAAAAGAAAGAGTACCTGAAAATTCTTTGAGAGATTATCTCAAATTTTAAGTTTTATAGAGAAAGTACCTAAAAATTCTTAGAGAGAGAAACTATCTTAAATTTTGTCTTAGAGAGAGAAATTATCTTAAATTTTGTCTTAGAAAGAGAAACTATCTCAAAATTTTGAAGAGAGAAACTATCTCAAATTTTAAGATTTAGAAAGAAAGTACCTTAAAATTTTAAGAGAGAGAAACAATCTCAAATTTTAAGTTTTGGCGAGAGAGTATATTAAAATTTTAGAGAGAAACTATATCAAATTCTAGAGACAGAAACTATCTTAAATTTTAAGTTTAGAGAGCAAGTACCTGAAAAGTTTTAGAGAGAAATATTCCTAATTTTTTAGAGAGAAATTGTCTCAAAAATTTTAGATAGAGAAACTATCTCAAAATTTTAAGTTTGAGAGAGAGACAAAGTACTTGAAAAGTTTTAGAGAGAGAAACTATCTCCAAATTTTTTGAGAGAGAAACTATCTATCTAGTCTTAGAACGTATCTTACAATTTTAGAGAGAGAAACTATATCAATTTTTAGAGAGATAATATTTAAAAAAAATTAGAGAGAGAAACTACCTCAAAAGTTTTGAGAGAGAAACTATATCATATTTTAAATTTTAGAGAGAGAAGTATCTTAAAGGTTTAGAGAGAAACTATATCAAATTTTAGAGAGAGGAAGTACCTGAAATTTTTAGAGGGAGGAAGTACCTGAAATTTTTGGAGAGAGAAATTATCTCAAATTTTAAGTTTTAGAGAGAGAATATCTTAAAATTTTAGTGAGAAACTATATCAAATTTTAAAGACAGAAACTACTTGAAAATTTTTAAAGAGTAAAATTATCTCAAATATTTTTAGAGAGAAAATATCTCAAATAATTTTAGAGAGAAAATATCTCAAAAATTTTAGAGAGAAAATATCTCAAATTTAATGAAAAAAGGACATTATAATGAATAATACAATCAAGCGCATTTAACAAAAAAAAGGAAAAAAAAACAAAACCATGAAAATGTTATGCATCCATGTACCATCCAAAAAGCAGAAATCTATTCACAGGAAATACTTTTCTCAAGAAATACATTTCAAAGGAAATAGAATTTCCAGGTAATCTTTTTCCATGGATCCAAATGGCCCCTAAAAGTCAGCTTTTCACAAAAATCAATTTTCCATTCAGAATAGAAGAGAAATCCTTAGCCCAAAGTCAAAAAGCTTTTACAGATTCAAGAGAATGCATAAAAATTGGCTTCACACAAAAATAACATCTAAAAGAGACTTTCCCTTCGCCATATCAAGAAGTCCAGTAAGAAAGAACTGTAAGAAGCTACAAATAGAAAGTTTCTCCATCCCTACGCACATTTTTCACAAAATTATTCAAGTTTAAATACTTATGAGTGACCACAATGAAAAAAGAATAGACTATAGAACCACAATACGAAATTATAGTCCATCAATGCATTCTTACATCACTTCAACATTGCCAGTGATAATACATGAACCTCAGGGCACATTTGATGTTTCGGTTGCAGTTTTGAAAAAGGAAAAGAAATTTTTTGGTACGCCCACCATTGCAAGGGAATATGTTAAGGCATTTCATATACTGAAAAAAGAAACAAGGTGAAAAGCAAAAACTGTCTAGCATAATTAGAGACTAGAGAATAGGGGAGCAATGACTGCATATATCCAGAACCTCTGGAGATATCTTGAACATGGAATTGATGACAAAATCAATACAGGTAGGGGAGAACAGTTGTCAAGAAATCTCTTGTCAAAATAGGATGACAAAAAAAGTATTTTTTTCCAACGATACTTAGTGGTTGGACATAGTTTGAAATTACTGACCTCTCTCAAGTGGTGCCATAATTTATTGTTTCAAGAGATAAAAATCTCAGGTGGAAGCCTGAGATATGCAGGCAAAATTATTAAAACGGGTCATGCTTCTGAGAGGATCAGAAAACTTGAGAGAGAGTGAATCTAGCCCCAATCTCTGATACAGTGATAATATCTAAACTGCATCACAAAATATTAAGAGTTCTTGAAAAACTTATCTTACATATTAATGAGATTATCATCCAAATATGTATAACTAAATGATTAGGTCAAAAGACCAAAATTATTAAAACAGGTCATGATTCTGAGAGGATCAGAAAAACTTGAGAGAGAGAGAGAGTCTAGCCCCAATCTCTGATACAGTGATAATATCTAAACTGCATCACAAAATATTAAGAGTTCTTGAAAAACTTATCGTACTATTAATGAGATTATTGTTCAAATGTGTATGACTAGATGATTAGGTCAAAAGACCAAAATCACTGTCACCTGAATGAGATGTATAATAACATCTGAATGAGATGTATAATAACCGAGTGTAAATAATGATTATACTGAACACAACACCAGTAGACAACATAGAACAATATTTACCATGCATGAGCAGATAGGGGAAATAGGATGGTACATGTAATGGAATTTTATCCAATCTAACATGCAGTTATAACATATATGAGTAGGATACATCTTCTAGTTTAACAAGTGCATAATGGAGGCATGAAAAGGATTCAATGCTCTTACGACGAATAGTCACCTTGGCATCATCTTCAACTCTTGGAACTATTAGACCAGCACCAGTGTGAATGGTAAAGCTGCAGAATAAAGAGACAAAAGACAGACAATACTAAGTCAAATACATCAAGGGCGACCTCATTTACAAGGTATCCTGAGATCGGCATGTAAATTTAGTAGAAAAAACAAAGAGTCATACGCTCCAAATATCAAACTCAAGGTCATAACATATAATACTTAAAGAGCAGTTCACAAGCCAACGACCGAGAAAACAATAGGCAGATGGAGGGAGAGGAAACACATGGTAAACCAAATGGACGTGCTTCTTATAACATCCCATATCCAGAAAAGAGTAAGTAAAAAGAAGCTTTCTAATAGTTCAACCATCAATAACTCAATTATCAGGAAGTCCTACGGCATTAGGACAATAGAAAACATGCAAGACAAAATAGAAAAAAAGCTAGTAAATACCGAGAAACTTACTGATGTTTAGTGTAAACAAACAGGTAAACTTTTTTTTTTCCTTTTTCATTTTCTTTTTCCTTTTTTTTTTCTTTTTTATGTGTGTGTGTTGGGGGGGACAGACTTCAAGGGTTTGAACCTTTGACCTATGCATGATACTAAAGAACATGTAAGCCAAAAGAGAAGAAACAGCCAGTAAATGGCAAGCAACTACGGATCTTTGGTGTGAAATCAATAATGTTGAGAGACCATTTCATAGCATAAGCATTTAGGAGAGGATATTGCCCATCATAATTAGAATATACAAACCTCCACAAGAACATTGACAAAGTATGCATCTTTGCTGGTATGGTACATCATCATCATCCGAGCCTTATCCCAACTAGTTGGGGGTGGGATACATAAATCATGCCCCACCATTCTGCTCTATCAAGGGTCATACCCTTAGTCAGACCATAAGTCATCATATCTCATCTTACTAATTCCATCCATATCATTTTGGGCCTTCCCTTTGCCCTTTTAGAGCCTTCCACTTGAACAAATCGTCCCTCCTAACCGGTGTTGTATTAGGACTACGCTGCACATTGCCAACCACCTAAGCCTACTTTCCCTCATCTTATCGCCTATTGGAGCCACATATAAGTTCCCTTGTATGTATTCATTCCAAATTCAATCATTTCTTGTCTCAGCTACATTCATCTTATGGGACATGTTGTTTCTTGACCACCCAAGATTCAATTCCATAAAGCATGGCTGGTCTTACGGCGTCCTATAAGACTTTCCCTTTAGTATCATTGGTATGCGATAATCACATAAAAGTCCATATACACATCTCTCACCCACCCAGCTCTAATTTGATGTGTGACATCTTCCCCAATCTCTTCATTCTCCAGGATTACCAACATAAGATATCGAAAATAATCTCTTTTAGGTAATTCTTGGTCATCAGTCTTAACTACTTCCTTGTTTCTACTCTTATTATTATTATACTTGCATTCTCTATATTCTATCTTAGTCCAGCCATCCCTTCAAAGTTTTAACTTTGCATTGACGCCACCTCTAATCTCATCAAACTATGTAATATGCGAACAACATACACCACCGTACCTCATCCTATAGATAACTAGCTAACTTGTCTATAATTAAAACAAAGAGATATGGGCTCAGCGCTAACCCTGGCCTTGATGTACGCATACTGTCACTAAAACATCACTTGTCTCTCCACTAGTAGCCCTCACATTAGTTAGCACTCCCTCTTACATATCTCTCACCACATCAATATATTACTTTGCTAGTACAATACAACAGACCTCAAATGCTAAGAAGTCCCCTCATCTTTTCTCAATACTTCCAACCATGTTCTTTTGGGCTTACCCCTTGCCCTTTTTTATCCTTCTACTTGAACTAACTTACACCTCCTAATAGGTGTTGTAAGTCTACTTTCTCTCATCTTATCAGCTATTAATGCCACACCTAAATTATCCCAAAAGTATTCATTTTGAATACTATCACTTCTTTTCTTGACACTCATCCATCTCAACATCCTCATCTCAGTTACACTTATTCTACGGGCATATTGTTTTTTGACCGCCCAACATTCCCCCCCATAAAGTAAAGTTGGTCTCACAGCTGTTCTATAGAACTTGCCCTTCATCTTCATTGGTATGCGGCGATCATATAAAAGTCCGGTTGCACATCTCCACTTCACCCACCCAGCTCTAATTCTATGTACGACATCCTCCTCAATCTCTTCATTTTTCTGAATTATCGACCCAAGATATTGAAAGTCAGCTCTTTTTTATATTTCTTGGTCATCAATCTTAACTACTTCATCATCTCTACTGCTATTATTACTAAACTCATATTCCATATATTTTGTCTTAGTCCGGCTAATTTTAAAACCTTTAGATTCTAGAGCATCCCTCCAAAGTTCTAACTTTATGTTGACGTCGTTTTGGGTCTCATTGATCAAAACTACGCGATTCGCGAAAAACATTCACCATAGTACCTCATCTTGTAAGTGCTAATTAAGTCGTCCATAACTAAGACAATGAGGTCTGAGCTCAACGCTGACCCTTGATATAGACCCATTGTCACCCAAAACTCACTTGTCTCTCCACTAGGTGTTTGTACACTAGTTAGTGCTCCCTTGTACATATCTCTCACTAAGTCGAGTAGTGTCTTGAGACTCTTTTCTTTTCCAATACCCACCAAATCAAATCTCTAGGTACTCTATCATATGCTTTCTCTAGATCAATAAAGACCATGTGGAGGTCTTTTCTCTTCATACTAAAGTTCTCAATCAATTGCCTAAGTAGGAAAATAGCTTTAGTTGTTGATCTCCCTGGCATAAAAATAAATTGATTTTTTGATACACTCGTTTTATGCCTTAGTCATTGCTCAATCACTCTCTCACAGCTTCATAGCGGAGCTCATAAGTTTGACCTCGATAGTTCGCACAATTTTGTATGTCTCCTTTGTTCTTGTAAATAAGTACCACAGTATTTTTCCTCCATTCGTCTAGCATTTTCTCTGTTCTCAACACCTTGTTGAACAGCTTGGTCAGCCAGTCAATACCAATCTCCCCCAAGCACTTCCAAACCTCTATCAAAATACCATCTGGTCCTAAAGCTTTTCCTATCTTCATCCTCGTCAAAGCTTCTTTCACTTTCGATATCCTAATCCTACGAATGGATCTATGACCTTCACCCTAATTTATGCCAACGGTTCCTTGTACCACTATGTTCCCATTGTATTCGTTATTTGATAATTTTTTAAAATAAACTCCCCCCCTTTCATTGCCCTCTTCATCCTTCACCAAGACCCTTTGATCCTCACTTTTAATGTATTTAATATGGTCTAAATCCATATACTTTTTCTCTCTCATTTTTGCTAATTTGAAGCAGATTTTTCACCATTTCTTGTTCCCAAGAAGTTTAAATGCCTATCTTTTTAAAACCAATACATAACTTCAAAAAATAAAAAAGTTACAAGTTATTCTATAAGAAGCAACAATAAACATTCTCCCATGGCATGTTAAATAGCAGGATCTCCACAAAGATGTCCATAGTTGTCCACTGGAATGCGAACAAGATTGTTTCCTAACGCCAAATCCCCCTTTCCAATTTTGAACTGATATTTTAATTGTAAAAACTTGGTCACATTGTGAAATGAAAACATTATCTTCCTCTTATATTGTTTGTTCTTTCCAAGAAAGTTTTAATGTATGGCATAGAAGATTAAGATACATTGGTTATGAGAAGTTGTTTAGAATGATAATAAAGAAAAATTAATTCCTTATAAAAAGAAAAGAATGTGAAAATTATTAAAGGAAATACGCCTAGAAAACCAAAGGGAATAAGGGCAGAAAATGATATAAACATGGTCCATATTGATATTTGTGGGAAAATTAAATGCAAAAACTTTTAAAGGACATGAATATTTCATCACCTTCATTGATGATTACTCATAATATACATATAAATAAATGATTTCCAATTGAAGTGACACTCCAGAAATTTAGGGAATATAAGATGGAGGTAAATTTTGAGAAGTGGGTGGAGAATATAATTTGCTTAAACTTAAAAACTTTTGTAAGGATCATGGGATCTTAGGCAATAAAAACTCCTTTACGCACCCCACCTAAATGGTATGGCTGAAAGAACGAATCATAGTTTCAAAAAGCGCTAGGCGACACCCAGGCGGCCATGGGGGTCCGGGCTGCCCAACGCCTAAGTGTGAGCCCAAAACCTAAGCAGCCTACTTGAAAAAAAAAACAAAAAATGATGAGTGATGACTGATAATGATTAATCCGTAAGAATTTTGATAATCCATAAGACCATAATCCATATTTTCATACAATGCTAAAACAGTAAAAACATACAAGCATACACTGATAATCTGATACACTGTAGACTGTGCACACAAAAATTAGACAGTAGAAGTAGAAACTAAAAATAAGAAAAAGAAAATATACAAAAATTTAGAAAATATACAGTCTAGGACACAATAGTCAATACTCAAGACTCAACACAACAGTCATCAATCATCACACCAAGAGTCTTCAGTCATCATCATCAGAAGGAATAGGGTAAACTTCATCATATGCATCAGAATCGAGGCCATCATCATCAGAGTCATCTCCCTCTTCAATATAACGCTCGTCCTCCTCTTTCTTTTGAATCTGCCTCTTCCTCCACTTCTTCTACCTCCCTCATACCAATATGTACAGATGAGGCCCTAGGAGTCTTGACTGCTCTACCTTTTCTATCTTTTTGTGCTTCCCTGAACTCAAATATTGTATAATTTCCTCTCTGGTAGCCTCAAGAACATTTTTACACTGGGCAACATCTCCCTTAATACCGGCAAGGTGTTTTTTAAATCGATAAATGCCTCCATTAGTATCCTTTCCACAATAATTACATTTAATATGATTTTTGTCATTCGGATTCGTATTATAACCATACTTCCAACCCGGATCACCACTTCTAGAAGAACCTGAAGAAGATATTTCCATAGAACAAGGCTCATTTTCATCATTTTCTGATTCTTTTAAATTCAAAAGTTGTCTAATCTCATCCCGAATAGATTCAAGAACCTTTTTACTAGAAGCAATATT